CTTCTGTGCACAGATGTCCACACTACAGTCTGACTTCTCACTCAGGAAACATTGTGCTGTCTTCATACAAGCAATTTCCTTTACTTTTCCAATAAGTATTGAAGTAAAGGTTAGAAATAAAAGGGTAGAAACTGTAAACCAAAAGCTGTATTTTTATAAATTAAATATGAAGACGTGCCAAGTTAAGGGGCATTTATGTACATCTTTATGGTGACGTTTTCCATTACACAAACAGCTCAAGTACTTTTACAAAAACATTAAGTGATAAATTCACTTGAAAATAAATGTAACAATGTGCATGTGCACACACATATATACACACAGATGCTAAATTTACAAATGTGTCAATTATCTGGTGGCCATTACTGAATTAAGAATAGTAATTACCGAGTCGCCCCAGATTTCAATTATATTTATACATAAATTGTGCATTTATAAAAACCTTACAAATAACTCTATTTTCCAGGAAGACATTGTAACAATTTAACATATGTAGTAAGAAAACATTTTAAATTCTTAAAATCACAATTAGATAAACAATTCAATAATCATATGGCTGCCATGGATAAAGAATTCTATGTATAAGGATTTCTCCATCTTTACATCTGAAACAATAACATGTCCTTCCAATCATTAGCCTAAGTTATAGTTTATATGTTGTTAACTGTCTTAATGCAAGGAAAGTAAGTATTTCTGAAACTTGATCTAAATCCACACATAAACGTCAACCAGTATTTTCTGATTGAAAAAGTCTCTAAAGATTTGCAAAAAATGTAGATCTCTATTAAAATCATGTAAGATGGGCAGATTATCTGAGGTGTTATTTTCAAATAGATGGTTAATTACATTTAACCAACAATGTTACATAAGACATAGGAACTTAGATTACAGCATACTATGTAGACTGCGTAGACTCCTGTAAAGGACTCAAACCTCACCCTCAGGCGATACACTGGGGTTAATTATCACAAAGGAGAGAGTGAAATGTAGTATCTGGGAACAAATATTTATAGTTTTTTCAAGGAATATTAACACTTACCTTTGCCACAGTAACAGGCCATCTTGCTTTAGAAATGAAACACTAAGTATTTTAGAAGCAGATCATAAGACTCCAGTGACAGAGATCATCAAAGTGAAACAAACATCCTAATAACACCCAGTAGATGCATACATGAAAACGCCCAGTCCCACATTAAATGCTGTAACATTTATGTATTTCATTTTAGTGCTGCATTTCATTTTAAAAGTGTATAGCAAAAACATTCACATTTAAATTTAAACTCCTTACAGAAATGATTCTTTTACTCAAGAAAACAAATTCTGTAAGTTACCAGGGGAAACTCAACAGAGGAAATTCCCTTGAGACTCAGTTAGCTGAATCTCTCTCTTCATAATAGAGTCTAGAGAAGTAATTGAAAGTCTCAGGTGTGTGTTTATCATCAGGTCATCTAAACTGAATTATGGTTCATGGGTAAAGTTAATGCTTTAGGTGATGTCAATTCATCTCCTTATAAGCAAATGTGTACATCAGGAAGCTATAATTACTGCACGATTTCTGACAAGCTCAGTATGAAGTCCAATGCTGAGAAGCTAAATCTGGGCCTGGGAAACTACTCCTGCTTATATATAATTCAATATACAGAATAGTGGTGCTCTCCTCTCTTGCCATCCCAAATAACTTTTATCAGATATCTCAGCACTGAAATAAAATGTTAAAAAAACCTGTTTACTATTTATCAACAGTGCTATATAAAATAATATGATCTCAGTAGAAGTAGGGTTTATGAGCAAAATTTATGCTGCCATCCCCAACACATACACACAGTATACACACATGTAGTATGCAGAATTGAGGTGGTATTAACAACAGTTCACCACTCTTAGTTTTCCTGTATTTCTCAAGGCATACTTCTCAGACCGCAGGAGACTGCTACAAATGCTTAAAATCAGAAACGTTGTTTTAAGCAAGCATGGGCTTTTGCTTCTCATATCAGAGAAATTTAATACACCAAGAAGGAAAAACTACAAAAGACTAATTAGCATTTGGTAAAAGATGTGACAATGGTCTCCTCACACCATTTGCAGGCTGCTTGCCTTGGTTAATGTTTCAAGGAAAGGAGAACTCCAGCACACAAAACACGACAGGAAACAGTGCCAAGAGAACATTCAGATGTTGCAAAGCTGTGATCTGAAATATTGCTTATGATGAACAGTAATAATCAAGGAATGAAAATTGAAACTGTTTTCCTAAGGAAAACTACCACCAGTGCCATATACTGTGCAGAGAGGAAATCTGTGAGGCCGAGAAGGGAAAGATATTCAACCCATGCAACTCATCTCCTGGGATAAAAGGCAAGCATGGAGAAACCAGGTCACAAGCTAACCCAGGTCTGGAGAACTGAGAACTGTGCACAGTCCCAGGCTGCTGAGGGCACAGCCCCAGAATGATGTGGGGAACGATGCAGGCAGCTGTGGGTCTACTCACATGCCAAGATGAACTTTCTATTCCACCTGCCGTCTTCAAAGCTGAAGACAGTTTACCTGAATGGTCCTTTCAAATGCAATGCAGTTCAGATGCCTTACAGAATCATGAAAAGAGAAATGGAGGAAAATTTCTCTATTTAGTTTCTGTAGGGACAGGTGTGTCTGAGCACTTTCCTTGGCTGAAGGGGAACAGAATTTTTCTCTATTTAGTTTCTGTAGGGACAGGTGTGTCTGAGCACTTTCCTTGGCTGAAGGGGAACAGAATTTTTCTCTACTTAGTTTCTGTAGGGACAGGTGTGTCAGGTTTGTGGCGTACTGAACATCTTTTTTACACTGGGCATCTTTGCAGTAAATCAGGTGGTTAAGAACCATTCAGGACTTAGACTGACACAAGCTTTCAAATAGCAGTGTGACGGGGAGGGGAGGGAGGAGTAACGGGATTCATGTTCACATCTGCTGCACATTTTCACATCTCATTGGTGCATGTTGTGTCCAATATATGTGAGTACTGCTGATTTCGTTATTATGAGCTGAAGTATGGAAAACATGACCTCTGGTCAGCAGCATATACATCAAGACAACCTGAACGTGCCAACAGTGGTGGAAAGCATAAGAAAATGTTGGGTTTTCTTACCAGAAAAACAATAAAGGTTAAATAATTAAGATCTAAAAAAAAATCAATATAGTTATAATGTTTACCCTTCAGGTAACAAACTTATCTAGCTATAAACATTAAACATTCTTATATTTCCCTGTTTGTGAATGTAGTTTTGTCTTAAAAATAATTTTTCAGTTTTTCAGGAATTTGCAAATTGGAAACAGGTATTTCTTAAACTGAGTTCCAAGAAAGGAAAACAAAACCATTTTACTATTTCTAAAAACAAAGCAGTAGCACATGATGCTTATATCATTATTAAAATGCCATTTGTGTCATTTATATCCTAGAACTATTCCCAAATAAGGGCAAGGAGAATTAGGTTCATGAGTTTTGTGTGTGGTAGGAATCATCTGCTCCCCTTCTCAGGACAAATGACAGAAGTGAAGGCCAGTCGTGATGGAGGGAGGGTGGAGCGAGCAGAGGTCCAGCACTGTCAGACCGAGCTTTCCTGCAAACAGTTGAACTGTACAATCGTACAGAGGAAGCTGCCACTGTTCTTAGTGATTCGAAGCGTCATCCTCAGATTAGCTCCACTTTAGGGTAAAGACTTCCTGTGTGAACTGCTGTGACAGGTTCCAGTAGCTTGCTAATACAAGGCTGCTCTCTGGGACAGTTGTAGGCTGACACTGTGCTATAAACTATGACTCATATACTGTCATCTAGTCTGCAGTGTAAAGCTAATTCATCTTTTTCATCCTCTATGCTCCCAGCATCCCTGGAATACCCAGCCAATTTTTTCCATTTTCAGGAAGAATGAATCAATGTGGTTTTGAGAGAAATCAACTGTCTAGAACCAAGAACAGGCAAACACTGTCAACATTTTCACGTAAGTTACAATCCCAAAGGAAAGGGACGAGTCCGCTCCCATAACACTGAGCAGCACCCTCTAGCAGGGTGGAGATCAGTGGTTATTTGTATCTCAATTAGAACAGAAAGAATCCCAGAGGTATCTTTTAGAGTATAAAATAAACTATATGCTTTTCCTATTGGGATTTGGTGTTTGGATATAGGATTAAGCATAATCCCAAAGATCTGGGAAGTGTCACGCCGCCAAGCACTTTCATAAGGGAGAGAATTAAAAACTGTTTTACTGCTTTCTGAACTGTCAGACACACAACGGAGATCTAGCCAGCTGTAGTCAATACAAGTTACACTGATACAAATTATCTGCCTCCCAGTGCAAGCTCTCTGACCCCGGAACAGAGCAGACAGGACATATACACTGCCACCTGAGAGCAGAGACACCAGTACAGACAGGTACCCATCAGTTTTGCTTCAGCAAGCAAGCTACTGGGTGGGAAAACTCAGAAACACTGCAGAAGCCTCTAGTATTTTCATTCTCTGCTCTCTGGGCTGAAAGCCTGAATCATGTCAGTTTGTCTGTCTGTTTTCATGTGTCTGTAGAAATGATCATAGGAAATCCGAATAAAAATACAATACCATTTCTCATGGTATATTATTAAAAGTTTACTTCTAGATCCCTAGGAGAAGCTGTAAATTCAAACAAGTGGTTTTATTATCACTTTTGATTTGATTTTATCGTGTTTAAGACAGAATGTGTGCTGAAGCATGATAACCCACGTCACTTTATTGCTATGGTCTAGGTAATTTGAGTCAGCTAATGATTTCGGCATCATCTAAGACAAACAAATCAAGAAAGAACTCAATTTAAAGTGGTTACTGCAGAAGTGTACCGTGTGAGGCCCTGGCTGAGCGTCTGTCGAAGTGTCTTCCTTACAAAGCACCACACTGCTTTGCACAGAGGTGACTGAGTGCCTGACTGGACATGAGGATGAAGACGCTGTCCCTACTTGGGACACTCTGGGGCTCACAGGCAACTTGCTTCAGACACAGTGAATGAAAGCTCTCAAATAAGCAATTTTATTCCTATCCATGATTGCAGACATTTACAAAACCATAACATCTGAGTTCACCTTAAAAAATAACTTATATAAAGCAGTGATGTACACAGCACAAAATAGTTCGGGAAGGGCAGGAGCAACCTTTAATAATTAAAATGTAAACGTGAAAAAAAGGATGGAATAAAAGTCCCTACTTACTTCTACTTAAGATGTCATGTGATAATATCTTACAATGTCCTGTGGGTCAATGCACGTATGCGTATATGTGCATACAGATCTGCATATACGATGCGTTCTCTTCCCCACACATACACACAGATAATCATCGCAGTTCAGTTGGGGCAAGGCTAATGTGCCGCTCCGTACAGTTGCTCGAATCACATTGGGACCCGCTTTCTTCTCACAACAGGGGAGAGAGCAGGAACTAAAAGGTGGTCTGGTGTCTGAGATTCCTGTGTCTAACTGTACACGATGAGTAGTTTTCCTCCGTAGTAGTTCTGTGATGGGCTGACTCACGATGGTTTTCATGAGGAGACTCGGTAATGGATCACACACTCATGGTCATGCTGGGGGAGTACTGTAAGGACAGAGAGTCCAGTGGTTAAAAGTGATGTCAGCACGGCTCTACCTGGTACAGAGGGCAGGTGACGATGTGAGTGTCTACGAACACTCATGCACACACCTTTAACCACAGGAAAACAAGGAACCATAATGAGCCAGTCTACATGGCTCTACTTAGTTTAAAATTTTATATTATTTCTTCTACAAAGCCTGATTCTTTCCCAGGACCTAGATAATTATCTAGTCCTCAGATTCTCCAAGTCTTCCAAGCCAGACGAGGGTTTTGAAGACAGTTGTAACAATCTGGGCAACTTTAGTTCAAGGATGGATCACAGTGAAGAGTGGGAGGCCTAGCCTTTGCTATACATAGCCAAGTGAGGGGAGGAATTCTCTGAATTCTATTTCAGTTTTTTTCTCCTTTATAGCAGCCTTTCTAACAATATCAAGGAGTTTGGGGAGGATTCAATATAAAATCCTTCAACTATATGCTTGATTCAACATACAGAAAGCACTCAGTGAACAGTTATGTAAAGAAGCATGAGCAACTGCCAGTTCCACTGAGTCTCTGAACACCAGATGCTCCAGTGTGTTAGCACAGAAGCCACACATACACACAGACACACACAGACACACACACACACAGGCACACACACACAGACACAGAGAGACACACACACACACACACACACACGGCCAGGACACCAGCATCAATCCAATGCATACAACTCAGCATAACAGTATGATGGGGTTGACTGACAAGTGACTAAGGCCACACTGGGCACAGCACAGCTCTCGATCATCTGATTAGAGACAGAATCTCTTGCAAATGGTAACGGTCTCCAAATGAAAATTGCTTCTAAATTAAAATAAACATGTGGACTTTGCAATATTTTAATGTTTGATGGAAAATCTACAAAAAGTACTTCAAAGGGCAGTTTCTTTTAATGTTCTACTAAGAACAGCGTCTCAGGATGAGATGGGTAAAGTCTAAAGGACAGGCTCCAGAGTGGAGAATCCAATAAAAGACCTGTGGCTATGTGCTCAGTGGGACATACCTTTTAGAAAGTTGTCAGAGAGGGGAAAGTGGAGGGATCCCAGCAAGCTGGAATGGACTACGGGCACCAGCAGTGGTCAGATGAACTGCAGTGCAAAGAGCTCCCCAGGCAAGCACACCTGAGACAGCTGACAGTCCTCTAAGCCAAATGCACTGTCTGAGTAAATGTAGAGAGGACCACAGAGGAGCAGGATGAGGCTGGAAAGGTGGCTGGGCCACAGGGGTGCTAGTAAGGGTTTAACACTGGCTACACCAAGGAGACTCTATTTGTCACTGAATAGCCTTGACTTCTGTTTTAGTAGAAGACAGAAGCTAAGTTAGTTAAGTAGTTTAACTGATTCCTATGTTGGATAGTAGGGAACACTGGGCAATAAGAAGAAAGGGCAGGGAGAAATGATATAATTGCATTATAATCTCAATGAATAAAAAATGCATTCAACTCAGAAGAAAAAGCAAGTCAATAATAAAACCACTGCCTCCATCATATATAAGGAGTTCCCTGTGCTGAAATGGGAACACACCCAACTCGATGGCAATGTGACACACAGGTTTCACATCACCAGTGACTTCAGCATGCTGCAATTTCTTACTCACAGCCTGGGACTAAACAGCAATCACACACACACACACACACACATACACACACACACTATGTATACATATATATGTATGTATCACACTAGTTATACATTATATACAAGTATAGAACACAGTGATATTCAGAGATAAGAATAAGCAATAAGAAAAAATGAGGGTGTATCTTTACAGCAAAATGGGCATCAGCATTATTTCAAAATAACTGCTTTGAGGAGTGGTGCAGTGTCAATGACTGAGGCCGGGAGGTAGGATGGCTCCTCCCTCTCATTTCCCCGTGCCCTTTCTTCTTATTGCCCAGTGTTCCCTACTATCCAACATAGGAATCAGTTAAACTACTTAACTAACTTAGCTTCTGCCTTCTACTAAAACAGAAGTCAAGGCTATTCAGTGACAAATAGTCTCCTTGGTGTAGCCAGTGTTAAACCCTGACTAGCACCCCTGTGGCCCAGCCACCTTCCAGTCTCCTCCCTGTGAGTCTCATGAGAAATGTTCCCAGAAATCTCTGGGTAAAACTCCAGAAATCTTCCACTGAATGTACAGCCCGGGCAATCTGGATTTTCGGCATTCTAGATTCCTTTCTTTCCAAGTATCATTCCATCCCACGCATGTATCACATGACACTAGAAAACAGTCTAAAATACTTTCCATTCTAATATATGTCACTTAATGATGTACATGCTCACACTCTGTGTCAAGCATTTATTAGCTATTATAATCTCTTTACATGAGTCCTTGTTCAAATGTGGTATATAAAATGTCTTGAGAAAACTTACAGAAAAGAAAAACATTGTTGATATATCAGGAAGTTAGAAGAAGTCACTTTGCCCATGAAAGAAACTAAGGAAAAAATATTAGGTGTATATAAACCGAGGGTTGGGCATCAGATCCAAGAACTCAACTTCAGAGTTTACTAAAACCTAGTCAGGTATAACTACTGAGTAGCACACACAATTGCAGAATGACATGTCACCATCTCTGGCAACAGGCCAACAGGATGCACTCCTGACTGGACATCCCTGGGGATGTGTCACATGCTACTGTAAGTCTATAGACTGCTCACTGCCAGTTTCTATTACTGAACCGGTTTCAAGAAAATGATGCTGAAGAGAAATGTAAAATTCTAGGAAAGTCCCCAGAATGCAAACAAAAAGAAGCATTTCCATGAACACCTTCTTCAGAGAACTGAGGAAGTGGCCCACATTTCCCAGAAGAAAGGAGTGCTGCACAGGCCGCTATGTTGAGAGACACACTCTTCCTGGTGCATGGTGTGGCCTTACGTCAGTGTCTGTGCTGTGCTGTTGCATCAATACGTGACACACTGTAGGTTTATACCACAATTCTGTGATGTCTGCAAATATTCAGTTAGTCTGGCTCTCCTCACAGGATAAAATAGCCCTGTAGCTAGTGACAGCACTCTCGTTTGGCTTAAGGGGACAAAAAAGTAGAACCAAAGCTATTATTTTAAACATATACTTATCTGCTTTTAAAATAAACTTTGAGATAGCAGGTCCTAGTATGAACTTGTAGAGTCTTTTCCCTATCTCCTAATTAATGTTCTGCAGAATCCATTAGACATACTCATGAAATCTGCTTGAAGGATACTTTTGATCACACCACTGTCTAAGTCTCAGTCTCTATAAATATTTTGTTTTCTTAAGAAGAAACAAGGAGTCGTTGCGCTCCTCTGAATATAACATGAAATAACTTAATGTTTATGTGACCACTTAAACTTGGGCTTCCATGGTTTCCGACAACAGCAGCAGTGGACAGGACAGGTGAGGGCTGTCTGTCAGCATGTCACTATTGAATACAGTGGTCCTAATCCACACCTGCTAATCTGATTATAGACTAAGGCCATAGGGGAACATTCTTCCAAATTAATCCAACTGCTTTGTTTTCATATGAGCTGTTTCTGTATCTGCCACCATCTAAAGCAAGTATTTACAGCCTGTGAACACTAGGGGTAGCTTTGTGTCTTGGAAGAGTCTTGTTTTGCTCATTTGGCCTCGTCAATCCAGTCTGTAGGATTTTGTGGATTCTGGCATGTTTGTCTGGATGTAATTAAATCAAGTAGCATGTCCGTAGAGAATGAGTTACTATCTAGTATACAGCAAGCACTGAACAGTGGTTTCCTTTCTCTGGCCTTTTGGTTTAACGTCTAGGGTGAGAGTGGCAGCTTCCAAGGGGGGACTGCTAAGCACACAAGCCTCCAGTTCTATGCTTTAAAATCCAGACCTTGAACATTCAAAATGGGATTTTTGAGCTCACTAAATAGTTCTGCATTTTCTCAGTTACAGAACAAATAAAGTCATTGGAGATAACTCATTTTATCGTGTCCTTAAACCCCATGCTTGGCAGCACAGAATCTTGTTGTCTATCTTCCTCTCTCTGTTCCTTGCTTGGTATGCTTTAAAATATATAAACAAAAAAGAGTGGTGACATTCACATACAGGCAACACGAAGTGCACTCAATGGACTCCACAACAGAGCACATGGAACCGACAGGGAGAAGTAGGGGTGGGGGACAGGAAAGAACTGGAGGGGAGGGATTGGGGACTCATATTTGATCAAACATTGTGTGCATATATGACATTCTTACACAGGAACAACCATGACAATATAAAGCAAGCCACATACAACAGAGACACCAACTGCAGCAAGTGAACTCTCCTTACTAGGCAGACCAGAGGGCCACGTGGCCAGCAGTACTGAGCACACTTCTCCAGACGACAGCAGCTATCCACTGCCCTTGTCCCACTCCACTTGGAAGGGGATGCGGTGTCTCTGGATGCTATCTGCTCTTTTCCCTTTAGTGAACTCTCCTGCTCGTGCAGGAGAGGGAAGGAGAAACATCAGAAAGCCTTGTTTTTAACTCCACCCTGTAGTTTTACTTGACAATGAAGCTCCTTCTGAGTTCAGGGCAGCCAGGCTTGGACAGGAGATGAGGAACCCCACCCCCGCTCCTCTCAGCTCCTCCCACTAAAGTGTCCATTCATCCAGCTCCTC